CGAAAGGGGGTCAAACACCGTATTAGTATGGTGTTCATAATAATCCTTTAGGTGAGTGTGTGTATATATTACGAAGACGGGAGAGGAACAGCATTTCGATTCCCTTGTATGTTATGAACAAATAGGGAATTGACAGTAACAGTCTGTATATCCCATCAGTCGGAGAGCACCAGCTCACAGGACACAAGGTCGCAGTGAAAATCCTCAACCGGCAGAAGATCCGCAGCCTCGATGTGGTCGGAAAGATCAAGCGGGAGATTCAGAACCTCAAGCTGTTCCGGCACCCACACATCATCAAGCTGTGAGTATGCTGTGGTGTTGTCCCTTTACTGGGAGCCCAGTGGAAACATCTGGAGCGCAGTTATGCCCAGAGGAAGGAGGAAGTGGGATATTATATCAGTCACTCAGAGACGCAAGTGTTCAGCCAGCTGTGCTCCTGCACTGAGGGGTTTGTGGACTTTCACCCCACAGCTGGATTAGAAGAATCCAGCTTGTCCAGCCCACCCTGGATCTTGCTGCTAATTACATTTGATGTTACAGTATGGAGTGATTAATAGCAGTGCCAGTGTTACTGCCTGTCGTCTGTTTCTGTATGAGCTTCCAGTCAGTAGGAAAGATTTATACAATAAAATATGTGAAACCTATGATAAGACTAAGATTTGATAGCACATAACAGTGTACACCCACTGAACCATCAATACAAGCACCTACAAGTAAATTGTAAATAAACAAGCGAATAATTGGACTACAGAGAAGTGTATTTCATGTCCAAACAGGAGTTAACCCAAAACATAAGTAGCATTTTACAATTATAAGTATATTAGTGTCAGCAGGAAGGCTCCAGTCAAAGTCGATATGGGTGCTTTTGGCTGTTATGAAGATTATTTTATGTCGGAAAGTCTGCCTGCATCCTGTGTAAAAATCAGTTCAGGTAACAAAGCCCCAGTGATGACTGTTTCCTTAGAGGTTAATGCTGTGCTGTTATTTTTAGGACTTGAGCTGCACTGGTCAGTATGAAGCACCAGAGACCTCAGCACCCCACCGACGCTGTGAGGCAGACTCTGAAATAACTTATTTATCTCTCACAGTAGCAGCCCAGACATCTTCTATTCAATTTAGCAAAATATCCGCTGCAATCGTGGCAAAACTGTGAGGTTTGCTTTTCTCTGCAGCGCTATTGGCAAGCTGTTCTCCCTGATATCTCATTTGTCACCGTGACTGAGGAAGATTAAGGAAAATGGGATGTACTGTTTTAGAGACTGTAGTGAAAACCATGGTTAAACTCTTCCTCCGCTTTTGTAAACACGTCTGAAGGTCTTTCACCACGTATCTTTCAAGCTGTCTGCCTTGATTAGAGTCAAAACATCATGCTGAACATCAAATGCGGAAACATTATGGAGGTAAATATTGACTTCAGCTTGTATTGAATGTAGAAAATATGTTATTGACACGCAGCTACGTGTAGAAAAATTGTTATGGGATGCAATGCAGGGCTGAGATGATGCTGTCCTGCCAGCAAGAGCCATCTAACAAAATTCAGTATGTACAGTCGGTATATGACGGAGGCTGTAGGTAAGCTGTCCTACAGTGACATCCCAGACATGTTAATAGAGGATATGAGCCAGTTTACACAGGGTTATTTGTGGTACAGTGTTACTCCTGTGTACTGCTTTTGGTTCTATGACGATCAGGCAAACTGCAAAGATATTCAACCACAATGTTAATGTAAGCATGCTTAAAGCTACAGTGCCTGGTGTATGCATCTCAGATGGATTTCTGTATATACTACAGTGATACTTCATTTGTTTATCCTTCATCTCAGTAAAGGACTGGTATATTATCTGTATTATTTGTACTGGAATTGATAATAGGAATTGGCATATTAATTGCTGGGGGGGGGGGTTCTATATTAAGAATAATTAGTAATTACGATGATAAAACTGTATCTTTTCTCAAGATTTCGATACATGCTTAGTAAATACTCTCTAAACACCCCACACCAACAGTCTGACATGCAGTGGCTTCTGTCTGCTCTGCTGGACAAGCATAAAGTCTCCCCTGGTTTTCATCATTCATCAGAGGTGTTTTCTGAGTGCATAATTTCCCAGACCCCCTCCCCCAATTAAGAATATTGTAATGAAAATTTTTTATGTTTAAAAATTTATTTAAAACCATCATTATTGTATGTAGCATTGATTACTGCTTTTTAATGTCATTTTTGATTAAATTATGGCCAATATATTAAAATGAGGTAACGCATTATAAAGTAGCTGTATATGGTTAGAACTATAATTTGCCCATTGTTTTTTTTTTACCGTTTTTTATGTTGGAATAGTAGTTTGTAATTTATTTTTCACATGGTCATGTGACTAACACAGACAGCCTTTCTGTTTCAGGTACCAGGTGATCAGCACACCTACAGACTTCTTCATGGTGATGGAGTACGTATCAGGAGGAGAGCTCTTTGACTATATCTGTAAGCATGGAAAGGTAAGATCAGGGAATCTTCTAGCTTATGTTCGAGACTGTAGTTGGTATATTAGTTTACCACTGTACCGGTGAATGTCGACGTGTTTGGCCATATCGGCACTGGCCCTTGGGAAACCTGATCTGAAAAAGTTAGTGAGGGCTGGACTTCATGAGTAATACGGACCAAACCTCCCTGACATCAGGCGATAAATTATTACGGGATTTTGGGGAATGCAACTGGACACCTCACTGAATGTCCTGTGGTCCACCGTGTTCCGGTAGCATTCTGTGGTCACGGCTGTGCTGCTTGTTGCAGGTGGAGGACACAGAGGCAAGGCGCCTCTTCCAGCAGATCATCTCCGCCGTGGATTACTGCCACCGCCACATGGTCGTCCACCGTGACCTGAAACCTGAGAACGTGCTACTGGATGGCAGCATGAATGCCAAGATCGCCGACTTTGGTAGGCCGTCGTGTCTAGCTGAGGGGCAAGGCCAACTGCTGGGTTGCTGGGTACATCAGCTTCGTTCTTGTTTGGTGGTGGTGGTGGTGGGGGGAGGGTGGCGGGTAGCTGCAACTTAATAGGTTTGGGGGGGGCCGCTAGCTGCCATTTGTCACCCCAGGCCATTTCTGGATAGTGCAGGACATGTGGGCTGAATTTGGCATCTAGTGTTGAGGGGATTATGAGTCAGATCAGCTGTTTGAATTGGTCTTCAATGCAGGTACTGCTAAAGGTTAGAAAGGCCAACTTATTGGACGTAATAGAGAGGGAGAATTTCCAGTGTGCATTAATCATGACATCCTGATGAGTTTATTTAATTGTATTAATGAAGCCAATTTACCAAGTCTTTGGTTACAGGAATATAAAGAGAAAGTAAATAGTTATTGGTAAGCATTTTTTCTTTTAATATGCATAATCATAAAAGCTGATAGCCTGCATTTCATTATTTTTCCATCAATCCATATTCCAAACACTTGCCTGGCCACACGAAGCCAATCCCAGTCCGTCACAGGGCACGAAGCAGGGGACACTCTGGACAGGATGCCAGTCCGTCACAGGACACATGGGAGGGGACAGTCTGGACAAGATGCCAGTCCCTCACAGGGCACATGGGAGGAGACACCCTGGACAGGATGCCAGTCCATCACAGGGAATATACACACTCACATGCTATGATCAATTTTTAGATGTCTTTGGTCTACACGAAGAAACCTGCACAAAAAGTGTAAACTCCACACACAGAATGGTGGTGGGATTTGAACCCCAAGCCTGGAAGTGTTTCCCAACCTGCAGGGAAAAACTTGGGGGTTGTTGATGGGATTGACACTCCAGCGACCCTAAAAACTTCACTTGGCTCTAAAACAGCAGAAGGGACTCTTTTCTGCTCCACGGGAGTAGCTCCTCTGCAGCCACCCACAGGAAGGCTGCACATATCATGAAGGGGGTGAGGAAAAGCCCTCAGGAGCCTCATCCCCAGACGATTGTAAAGCTCTGGTGGGTAGTGTGGTGCTGAGGCATCGCCTAATGTATCGCAACACTTGCTTTTAAACTCTGCATTTCACTGATGGCACTTTGAGGTACACAGACCAGGGAGTGGCCAGATCTCTGTAGGTGGGTATAGCTATTATTGATGTGGTAGCTCAGATGGCTGCCATACTGAGGGAGTGGCTGTTGCTGTGGTAGATTGGCTGCTCCTGATGATGTCTGATGTTACTCCTTTCAACAAGCATGTTATGAGACTCTGATTAAGGCACTCTTTGGGTGTCTTGTCTGTTGTCTCAGTGTATGCTCCGACCATGTCTAGTGATCTCTCAGTGAGGAAGACATTCGCAACTTCGCTTGGTGGTTGATCACTATACTACTGACTGTATATTGTGCTGTATACTGTACAGAGGTTTACTATTTTCATTTTATTGTATTTATTGTCTTATGTTTATACTTTTTTTTTTTTTTAATACTGTATTACAAAGACGGGAGAGGAACAGCATTTCAATTCCCTTGTATGTTATGAACAAATAGGGAATTGACAATAAAAGCTGATTTGATTTTGATTTGATGGGTCCCCACGAGGTCACACTCCTCAGGTCATGGGTGACTTCAATAGACCATTGGCACTGACAGGACTGCCAATGAGGAATATGTCAGTACCACTGGTCTAGCAACTGTGATGAAACTGGCTTTATGTTCCTGTTGCAGTCAGGGCAGGTGATGGAGCATCTTTTATGGAGGATACTTGCAGTTGTCACTTGCTGGGCCAGCTACTTTGAGCAGTTTAAAGCTGATCTACTGGCTAGGATGTTGGACATCTCTCGGTCCACAGTTCTTGAGGCTGATCCTCCACTTAGCTGTGAATCAGCCAATCTCACCGAGATTTCATGGGTGGTGAACCAGCTGGGAGTAGTGGAGGTCACAGGGATCTATGGTATCTTGAGTGAGTTATGGCAGAATGGCCATGTGGCACGTTTCCCTGAGGGTGATCCGGCTCGCAGGATCCTCAACACTGAGGTCCAAAGTGGCTGGACCAGGCCGAAGGGACCCTTGCATAACCCCTGGCTGTGGCAGATAGATTATCACTTCCGGAGGGTGGGACTGGACCGTGTGTCGGCCTGGGGTGTCGGCAACTGGGATCCTAAGTTGTTTCATCGTGCGGTGGGTGCGCCAACGTGCTGCACCAGTGCATGCTCCCTGACCTGACCTCACCCGGAGATGTAAAGTGATGGTGCTTCCTACTGTGTACGTGTCATAGTAAGAAATCTACCAAGGCTCCATATTCTCCATGCACTGCATTTTAACAACTTAATTCTTAATATTATTCATACCATTACCCCTGCGCACTCTACGGAAGAGTATGGTGATGTGCTACATTCTTCTTTCAGGGCTCTCCAATATGATGTCTGATGGAGAGTTCCTCAGAACGAGCTGTGGATCCCCCAACTATGCAGCTCCTGAGGTCATCTCTGGCAGGTCCGACTAATCCCTCTCTCATCACCCTGTCCATCCCCCTGGAACGGGTCCTACGCCTATCTGTTGACATATTTTTGTACTTCTGCTATTGTACTGTATTATGTACCTTCCAGATATAGATGTTATGTGAACACTAACCAGACCACGTGTGAAACCTGAACTCTCTTCTTTTGTAATGGTAAATGATGTGACTATTTCACTTTAATATATAAATCTGGGCCCTTTCCAGCACAGATATGCTAATATGCTGAGGAATGTGCAATCGAAATACATTTAGATTAGATACAGAGGCGGTAGCAGTGCGGTTAGTGTTTGCTGGGTGACGTTTGTAGGTGAAGGTAACGTGATGTTCTTCCCAGGCTGTATGCAGGCCCTGAGGTGGATATCTGGAGCTGTGGGGTGATCCTGTACGCCCTGCTGTGTGGGACCCTGCCCTTTGACGACGAGCACGTGCCAACCTTGTTTAAGAAGATTCGAGGAGGGGTTTTCTACATGCCTGAGTACCTCAACCGCTCTGTGGCCAGCCTGCTGATGCTGATGCTGCAGGTGGATCCTCTGAAGAGAGCCACCATAAAAGACATCAGGTTTGCATTGTCACCGGCGTGCTGAAGGGCACAGGAGCGCAAGGAAAACCGTATGGAGAGTGCTGGGGCCACCATATTGCATTGCTAAGGTTCAGTGTTCTTCGGTAGCAGAACTGAGCAAATATAGGATTGCAGGAAATATAAAACTCATATTTATTATTTTCCCTATTAATTTTCATAGCTCCCCTGCAGTGGGTCGCACCACCTAAACATACGTTCGATTGTCAGATTGGGTGCAAAGTGTACGTGACACTAGCTAGTTTTAAATTAACCCCGCATTTTGTCAGTTGCACTACTGCTACTTAAGTTACAATGTAGTTAGTAGCTACTAAAAAAAATATTATTGCACTGTGATGTTTTCACCATGGACAACCAATCGATATCACTGTCTGATATTACCAGAGCCAACTCGCTGTTCCACATGTTTGTTGAGTTTGAGTTACACATAGCTACTGATGTATTTTCTCTGTATTTGTGAAACGTATTTCAGCCACATGTGTATTGGAAACCCGTGATGTGCCACCACCATGCCGTGGTGCAATGTAAGATGTGTGTGTGTTAGGTAGCTTGCTAGTTATGGTTCAGCAGTGCACAAAACGTTTGGTTTGGGCTCGTATCACATTTTTGTTTTGGATTGGCAAAGAAAAAGGAAACAAATTTAAACTTTGTTTTCCAGTTAATACTTAAAGATCTTAAGGAAAACTCAAAGCAAGAAACTCTTAACATACCCTGTTCACGTGAACACGATTGCTTTGTCTGTATCTTTTCACTGCAACTCTGCATCGTACACATGCAATAATATTTTTTCCGGTCTTATTCACTTATTTTTTCCTCATACTTTCATCAGAGCCAAACTTGATTTCTCTAGATCACGAAATAAAAGTTATCTCAGGAAAACAAAAAAGTTGTAATTAGGCACACAAACAGCATTTTTCAGGAGAAAGAGGGAAGCAGATTCCACTAAAAATGCCATGGCCAATGCTATTGAATCCATGCATTTTTTTTATTGCATTCTCACAAAAAAACTAAACTTCTCCCTTGTTCTATACATAGGGGGGGAACTTCAACTTTTAAAAAGCGACAGCAGCAGTGAAACTGTATTTCACACTATCATGGTTGAACTTTGCAGTTACAAACTGCAGAAAGGGATCCTCATGGTTCATGGATCAATTATGGTCCGTTTCACTGCTAGTATGTTTAGCAAATTAGTAATTTTGTTGTAATAAAGTTTATTAGACATTTATTAAGACATTTATTTGTATTCCTTGAGCTCAAGCATCTTATGTAGCAGAACAGATGCCAAGCACCTACAATAGGGTTAACTCGGACCAAAAGGCAGGGCAACGATTATTTCTAGCTTGCCAATGATGTTAACTGACTAGACTGTGGGTTGACAGCAAGCCTGTGACCTTGTTTTATCCTAAATCAGTGAATAAGGTAACAAGTTATTAAAATTATTTCTGATAACGGTGTAATGGTTCCATTTTCACCACTTTTTTTTTCTTCTTTTTTTAACAATGGACTTTACACCTAATGATAAAGATGTGTATAGTTTAAGTTTGAACTTAATGTTACTTTGAAACTCCTTGTGTGGTGTAAACTCGAACGTAGGTGCAGTTTACGTCCACCGTATGCTACGATCGAACTTGTGCTTAACTGGTACAACCCACTGCATTTTATATAACCCATCTTTGCTTGAACTTCTTCAAGGGACTTTCAGGTCTCGCATTTTCCACGCAGATGGGCGACAGCATTATTAGCCAGTGTAACGTCGTGGTTTGGTTTACGATTTCCAGGGAGCACGAGTGGTTCAAACAGGATCTGCCTGGCTACCTGTTCCCCGAGGACCCTTCTTACGATGCCAACGTGATCGACGAGGAGGCGGTGCGGGAGGTCTGCGAGAAGTTTGAGAGCACCGAGTCCGAGGTGATGAGTAGCCTGTACAGCGGAGACCCACAGGACCAGCTGTCTGTGGCGTACCACCTGATCATCGACAACCGCCGCATCATGAACCAGGCCAGCGAGTTCTACCTGGCCTCCAGCCCGCCGACCGGCTCTTTCATGGAGGAAGGCATGCCTCTGCCCCCAGGGGTCAAGCCCCATCCTGAGCGCATGCCGCCACTGCTGGCAGACAGTCCCAAGGCCCGCTGCCCTCTGGACGCCCTGAACACCACGAAGCCCAAGCCGCTGGCCGTGAAGAAGGCCAAGTGGCACCTGGGCATCCGCAGCCAGAGCAAACCCTACGACATCATGGCGGAGGTGTACCGGGCCATGAAGCAGCTCGAGTACGACTGGAAGGTACAACCTGCTCATCCAAGAGCTACAGTCAGGAGTTGGTGCACGATGGTCCATTTCACCCCCGTCTACTAACATACATCTGAAAGTTACTTGCGCAATGGTCAGACAGCTTCAGGATCTTAGGAAGTAGGCCTGTACCCAGTAAGAAGAGGAATGAATACTTTGTCTGTTCCTTTTTCCAGTATCAATATATTAAAGAAATTAAATGTCCTTTTACAGCAGAAAACAAAGATGGTAGTATAAGCGTGTGCATTCGTATGTGGATTACTTACAGTTAGGTACAGAAATAACATAATAGAATTGCTCAAGGTAAAGGTCTCACAGGGTTTGTGTCATGGGCTGCTTTGTTGGACAGGTAGTCAATCCCTATCACCTGCGGGTGCGACGGAAGAACCCAGTCACAGGGAACCTGGTGAAGATGAGTCTACAGCTCTACCAAGTGGACAATCGCAGCTATTTGCTGGACTTTAAGAGCATTGATGGTGAGTCATACTGAATAAACCTTCTCTGTGTCCCCTGAAGCCACCCACTCCCCGTGTCCCCACCCCTTCTTGACTCACAAGAACTAAACGCCCTTAGTGCCGGACATCTTGGTCTCTCCAGCCTGACTTGAGGGCAGCATAGCAGCAGGTACATGTGCTTCTTTAATGCTAGTGATCACATCACCGCAATACAGGTGTCCCTCGATTCCCACAGACGACGTCACAGAGCAGAAGTCGGGCTCCTCCACTCCGCAGCGCTCTGGCTCAGCCGCAGGACTCCACCGGCCGCGGCTCAGCATCGACTCGGCCTCTCCTGCCGTGGAGGTGCCCCTGCTCAGCAGCTCGCTGCCAGGCTCCTTCACGGGCTGCGTGCCACTGCTCGCCCCGCGCCAGGGCAGCCACACCATGGACTTCTTTGAGATGTGCGCCAGCCTCATCACCACACTGGCACGCTGAGCTGCCCAGTCGAGCTGCCCTGCCGGCGTCCTGATTGGCCAGAGACTGCCTGGCACTAGGGGGCTATTCCTGGAGTAGTATCTGTGGTAAACCAATCAGCCGTACCCCCCACCCCCTCCGTGTTCACTGAATGCCAGCTATAGCAATACATTGGCATATTACCCAGTGAGGTTGCAAATCTATTCATTTAGTATTTCTTGTTTCACATATATAAATATGTGTATGTATGTATGTATGTATGTATATTTATATTATTTACCATAGCCTCCTAACATTACTATTTAGATTTCTCACCAGAAATGAAATACACACATGAAAAAAGTTTTTATTTATTTTTAACATGTTTTATAAGTGCTTTATGTAAGTATTATACTTTCAGCTTTCAGGCTTTTATCTTGTGTTGTGCAGCAATTTGTATTTATAGCGCCTTGCCCTATATGGTCAGTAGGGAAGCCCAGTCAGCCAACACAGGCCGGCTGAGCGCGGCCGGCGCCGCCCGTGTCCCATGATGCACCCCAGCTCCCACAGCTTGCCATTATCAGCAGCAGGTAAACCAGAACAGTGAGACTGGGACCTGGTAAATAACTCCTACCTTGATGAATCAGTCCAGTCTGGTTGCATGGTCAGAATCACATTTTGTCAGACGTCCCATTCGCAAATCTGTCATTTAACCGGTTGGCTTGTTTCCGGATGCTGTGACAACATCTAAAGACGCTTGGCACAAAACGTGCGGCCAGGTGCCGTGGATGCGGCCTGCAGTAATCCTGACGCTCCATATGAGCTGAGGTGGTGCAGCGGAGTAGTAAAGCGCTGGACATAAGCTGTAATCTCCAAAAGCTCTGCAGAAGTGCGACCAGCTCGGGCTGATAAGATTCAGCAGCTTTGGCTGGAGCAGATGAGCAACTAATCTCTTATACCCAGTCTCATTTAAGGTGAGGAGCGGAAAAATCCCCCGGAGAATGGCCACTCCCACCTTCCAAGCCACACAGGCTGGGGGGGGGGGGGGGGCAGAGCTGGAATGAGCTTTGGGATGGGAGGCTGTGCATTTGGCCCAGCGCTGCTAGACTGTCCCCGGACAGGCTGAGACAGACTCCTGCCAATGTAAAGACCACAGAAGTGTCTGTTAAGTCAGATAAGCAGCCTGTATCAGAGCAGCAAGGCTGCACAATATGCACATTCTGTATATCAGCACATTAAAAGAAATGAGGCATAAATAAGCATATATCATCTTTTCAAGGATTTAGCTGAAGACAGGTGCTGCAAAAATGGTGGTTGTTAGTCTGTAAATAGTATTAAAACTGTCTGGTGTATTTGCTAAGATTGGGAATCGCTGTCAGCATCCGGCTGGTGTTGTGGTTTGGGGTGTTAGCAAGTAGCATTGGAAACAGCTAAGGTAACATCGCCTTCACGTTAAACCACAGAAACATCTTCGCTGTTGCCTTAACACACTTTTTTTATTTATTTTTTTTATTGAACTTCTGTGGTGGGACATATTTTATGTTAGAACTCCGTATTAGTGCAATATTTCACACGACCTCACTCTTCGGAAGTTACTGTGAATCGGGGTGAGACGCGGGTGAGCGCTCAGCAGTGGCGTTTTGGTGCCAACGTGGTTGCTGGTGCTATAACCAAACCGTAGAAATGAGGAACAGAGCAGCCCTGTGGCCAGTGAAAGGTTAATTTCTCTTCCTTCCGTCTTTGGAAAAAGCCTTGGAGTCACATCACTGGCTTTGTCTGAGAGGCAGTCAGGTGGTCCCAGCTGCAAAAAAAAGAGCGGGACAGGCGATCACTCATCCGTGCGTCAGTTCCTGCCGTCTCCTTTAATGGCTGCTCGCAGTACATGGCCAGACCGGTTGTCCCTGCGTGAGCTCTGTGTATTCCTCTGGTACCGCTTCATGTGTGTTTCTTGTGTATGCAGTGGTGGATTCTTGTCTTGGATCCTCGTGCACAACTGTGGCTCTTTTTAAAAACCATGTTGATTTTGTACTTGGAAGTAAAGTCTCATATTTGCCACCTACAAAGGAATGTATAAACCTCGTGAAATTGTCAGTGAAGCACGCTGTGGGTGTCTGACGGGCCGCGGATCCTCAGGGCTCTGTCTTGCGGCCTTCCTACACCATGTTCTCCAAGTCTACACTAAACGCTCCCACTGCGTCGTCTTGCTGTTTGGTTTTCCCCACTCTTCATGCAGGACCTGTGACGTACTCTGTGACTTGACCTGCTTATTGTGTCTTGTGGGTGTGTGGGAGTCTGAATGGGCTTTGTGTGTCTTGGTAAACTGTAAAAAATGCAGCCTCAGCATGCACAAAAACTGAATGAGATATCTTACTGCAGCGTGTCAGCATAAATTGTGCCACCTGCTGCTGAAAAAATGCAATTACACTCAATTACAGTACAATAACATGATTACAGGTTACAATCATTGTAGATAACACAAATGATATATAAAATGATATATAAAACAAAAAAAAAACTAACTAAATAACTGAGCTGTATGTTTGTGAACGATGTAGGGTGTTTTCTGCTAATTCACTTCCTGAAAACTATTTCTAGGTATTCTGTGAATCCTTACTTGACGTTCTGTTATCTAATTCCGTTTTTGTGATGAGGACGTTGAGGCTCTCTTATTCATAAACCGTGTCTTTGGGTCTGAGGAATGCATGCTTTAGAGTCGCACAGTGAAGACACTTGCTGTCACGTAATGTCCACTGTGCCCAGAAAACATGTTTGTATTTGATCTTCTGTGTGGATTTTAGCTGTACAATCTGCAGTGAGTACACAATAGATGGTTCTGGGGTGCATTTCCCAAAAGTTTTGTGACATTAAGTACGTTATCGTACTAAAGATCTTTAGTTGATTAGTGAGTCTTTCTCAAAACCCTTTGTAACAACTAAAGTAGTTAAGTTGACATAAATTTGTAAATTTAACAAGTGAACTGACCGAATTATTTTAATGAAGTCGTACTTCATTTCAGTTTTTGCCTGCTGTTCTGTCACAGAGAGACAAAGGTCGCCGTAAATGGATCACAGAAAAATACACACTGGAGGTCTTTTTTGGACAACGTGATAATAATAATATTTGGCCAAGGTTGCAATATAAAATTGTAATTGTAATGTAGGTTATAAAATATAGCAAAAAGGGCTCTTTGAAGTTGTTACAGCTCTATGTAAATTTAGTATTTACCAGGGTTGTGCATCATTCAGAACTAAATTGAGAATATCCCCTGAAATTTAATTCATGAATTTCTGCAGTGGGTAACTGGATGCAGAATTGCAATTTGAATTGAATGAAGTAGAATAAAAATGGAATTGAATTCACATAAATTAATATAAATTGTGTGTATGCTTAATATTTCAATGTGAATTACACAAGCATGTTAAAATACACAGCATATAATGTTGCAGTAAAAATGGTATTCAGAATGAAAGAATGCAACATTAGAAGAGCTTATAATTTAAGTAATTTTGTGTACCATCGTGAAAGAGCACTTCATACAGTAATCAAGTATCCCTATCCATCAGACAACCCACAGGTACTCACGTAAAAAGCTACTGAATACTCAAAAAAATGCTGCCATGCATAAATGGTTAAATCTGAAAAAACTAAAATTATTTGCCCATGGAAAATGACGTAGTGGACCATCTAAACCAAATGTATATTACAATACAATAAGATAAAAGTTATATATAATTTTAAAAGTTATACATAATTTTAAAAGTTATACATAATTAAACGTTACCCACTCATACCTATATAAACTTAGTATATACATCTACCCTCTAGGAAATAAGTCTAATATATGATTATTTTCATTTTGCTATATTAAATCATATGTGATTTCATTGAATTTCTTTGAAGTGAAATCAATGAATTTTCTTCCTGTCATTGTCATGTCAATTCAAGTCAGGTAGGTTTATTTGTCATTTTAGCCATATACACAGTATATACTGTAGTGAAACGAAGCATTGTTTCTTCAGGGCAAAAGCGCACAAAAAAGGACAGAAACGACACAGGAGTACACAACTGCAATATACAGGACTAGACAACATACAGTGCAGTCGACAGTAGTAACTGTGCTGGTCTGAGATGGATGCTTGAATAAATAGTGTTATTACAGAAACGGTATTTATGACTTATACTGTATTTTAGCAGCAGCAAGATGCCAATAAATAGTAAATAAACAGTAAATAAAGAGTAGAAACAGCAGCAGCAGCACAGAGAGTGCATGCAACAACACAATTCTGCTGCCTTCACAAGTTCTCGGGGGTCCAAGATTTTCCCCCGAATGCTTCTGTGCTGCACAACATTGCAGTAATTATTGAATTATTAAAATGTTTTCTCATGTGTTTGCTGCGGAGGAGCCAGCTAAGAATTATAAATTCATTGGTTAAAGCTTTTGGGAAACATTCACATAACTCGCTTCTTTACCTACGTTGTTAGTTATCTTGTGTGTTATTTACCAAGGTCAGTCATTTTTGGGAGATGCACCCCTGACTGGTTACATGTCTGATGTGTTAATCACTGTTCCTCTCGGATTTTTGTTTTGCTTGTTCTGAATGATTCTCAGTACCAGTGTCATCTCACACCCCAGGTTTTGAACTCGAATCCTGCCTCCACTCCAAGTGTGTAGTTTGTATTGTGTTGTAAGGCTGTCCTCTCGCTGTTTGGTTAACTGGCATCTCTAAGCAGCCCATTGTGTGAGCCTTGTCTGGCATCCCATCCAGGACGCACCGTGGGCCTTATCCCCCCTCAGTCTGGTATGAAGGGTTGGAAGATGGACGGATTTTTCTTTGTACTGCACTGCATGGTGTTGCTGTTCTGATTTGCACTTTATCCAATATTCATTGAGAAAACACAGTCCTGTTATATTTTTGTGACATTATGAATTAAGCCAAATGCTGTTTTGGTGCAAAATTAAATGCTAATAATTATATATATGTATATATATTTGTGTGAATGTGTATATACGTGGTACTATATTTCACCATAAGCAGCGGTTCAGGTCCAGAGAGTACAAATCCAGACCAAGATTTTTTTCTCAACCAACCAGTTGAGTATAGCGTCACAGTCAGAGTACTCAGCTGTTGGTTGAAATAAAACCCCGGTTTGGATTTGTACTTTCTTGACCTGAACTTTACACCTCTTATCATGGCACTATTGTACTACGGACCTGGGCAAACTGGTGTTATGGAATATTTCCATGTTGCCCTCGGTAGAAACTGTCATCACTGACAGGAGCTGTAACGTTTGTTACATATGGGATTGCATGGAGGCTCACTGGGTGGCACTGCTGTCTCATACACAACCTAGAAATCCCGTCTCTGTCCTTTAAGTGTCACAGGGAAAATCTGCAGACTCCACTGTCATATGAGTTTCCTGTGTCTTCCTGCGGTCTAAAGACATGCAATCAGGCTATTAGAGGTGGGATTCAAACCCACCGCCATATAGGTATGAGGCAACAATGCTCACCAGTGTCACCAAAACATGTTTTTATTTAATTCTCAAATTCATATGCAAAATATCTCCAACAGTGAGGTCAATGAACATTACGATTGACCATTTCCAGTGAAGTTCCGCTCCACTGATGTTCCTTGTGTTACATATTCATGGCACCTGAGGAGTTTTGAGGCTGTCCGGATGTTCCTAGTAAATCCTAAAATCTCTCGTTAATTTTAAAGGCTTAAATTGCCTAAAGCTAACCCCATAAATTGCTGAGTCACTGTGGCCAAAGACATACTGTATGACTCAAATTAATGTGGCGGAAGGGGTTAGGGACCTTAGACAGGACCACGGCACCTGAAGCAAAGTAACCCGACCAGCTCCGATATCAGGGGCAGTCAAGAGGCAGCCAAATCCCGAAAACAGGATTTACGAGAGAGTACTGTTCTGGAGCCCACACCTTTTCGATCAGAAGAAAGCCAATTTTCCCATCTGTGAATAAAAGAAATGCTCATATAAAACGAGTCTAATAATATTCATTTTTCCAGTAATTTGTATCAGCATGCAGACCCGGGACACTTTCTCTTCTTTGCAAATGCCAAACCAAAGATTGCAGTACATCACAAGAAGAATAGAGTCATTCACAAAGAGCCATTGTAGCCATAGGCCAAAAGGAGAATGATATATACATATTGTAACTCTTAATGTTTTGGTATAGTTTCCACACTGGCTGAGCCAGAAATCCCGATGCCCCCTTGACCTTCAGTGTTCATCGGATCCCGTCGGTCCATGGATTCTGATTTTGCTTTCTCATGGTCACCTGCCCCCGTCCCCATCATATGCACTGGATTTTCATTGGTAGCTTATGAAACCGGTCACTCCCACCGTGAGAAGATGACCGGCTTGATAGAGGTAGGCTGACGTCCACTGCGATTCCCACCATGTGGCCAAAAGTATCAGTATCAGTCATCAATCAATGCTCAATACATTTAGTCTCACTAAAATACTGTACAGCGTGCTGGAGCAACAAAGGATGTGAACTGCGTGGGCAACCTTCCAGAGGTGACAACTGGAAACACTTTCCACTGAATTCATGGTTTTTATCTGTAACAACTGACATAACAGAAGATTAAATCATCCTCTTTGATGAACAGATAGTTGGTCCTTTTTAAAAATAACTAACGTACAAGACATCGAAAAATCATGCACTTATAGTTCATTTGCGTATACATTTCCTTAGACGGTAACAGTTTATAAAACAAATGTGTTTATTGTTAATAAATCACAGAGAACCATGGTTCTGGCATTCATTTAATCTGTTTCATCCCCAGTACTAATACTTATGTAAAACATTGTTAATACTTATTTAAAGCTTATTTCCATGTCTCAATTAGAATTTTTTATGTATTACATATAAAAGTAGAATATTTAAAGAGAATGAATAAAAATGATCATGTTATGGAATCACCATATATACAGATATTAAAGGGTCTTTGGGTTTCTGTGTTTTGTAGCCATATTGAAACACTATTCTGTTTTCAGGGTGTTTGCCACATGTTTCTAGTAAAATCAATGACTCCTGCCTTCTGGGGCTGAATGCAGTCCTGAGTCCAAACAGTCTACATTGGTTATTCCTTTTTGTAAGCTAAAATTCATAAATGGCTTGAAAAACAACGCGGTACTTCTATTCTTCGTCAGTAACTCGGGTCTCTTGATGAGATGAGAGCATTTCCTCATAGCAGATGACACCTGTAACTTCTATACCGACGCCCCCTGGTGGAAACCATCTGTCAAGACTCACAGCGGTCTGCCAACACAAACTGTAAGAGGAAAAAAGTATGCAAGCATTCCAATGGGTAAAGGCATCCCGGGAATGTTAAAAAAGGAATTCTGCCCTAAAGCTTGGGTTCAGTCACCAAAATGTGAGCCATGTTTATGTTCATAATGTACATAACCCCACCTCTATTATCTTGATGCCCTGCACATCCGTCTTGTTTTAGGATTAACGTTTTTGTCAATGTTGGGTTCATGATGTAAGGGACTGGGTTAAAACTTTCTGTGAATTACACGTACTGCCCCAAAACGTAGTTCACACAGGTTTGATGTTATAAGTTTGTGTGTGTGTGTGTGTGTGTGTGTGTGTGTGTTTCCCTACTATGCCCTGGCACAGCTTGGGGGCAGAAGGGGCAGGTTTGTCAGGTCCTGGTTCTGCCTTCCAGGATTATTTCCAGCTCCACCCTCATATGGGGTTGAGTGGTTCAGAGGAGATGAGGAATGCTCTACACGTCAGGCTGCTCGCTGAGAGCAAAAGATTACAAAAAGACAATTAACCTGCAGAATCACTAAGCAGATCAGTCCAAGGTGTCGGCATAGAGATCAGGAGGAGGAATGATGTCCATCACCGTTTCCTCTTCCTGGTTACGGCTTTTAGGGAAAATGAAAGAAAAAGACCCGCATCACAGAAAGCCACAGTGACATGGTGGCCAAGTTTAACTAGTGATAAGGAAATGAGATAAGGAAATGAGATGCATAATGTTCACACAATGGAGCGTGAAATACTCACAGGGATGACGGCTCGTTTTCATCATTTGTGATGCCTACAGGTAAAAATCAGTACAAGAAAATTATTGTTTCTGAGGGTATTCCTACAGTATCTACCAGTATCTACCAGGGCTGGACTGGCCTGTCGTACTGGGCATAGCGTTCTCCCAGAGGACCAGCAAAATTCATTAACAAATTTTTATTCTTATTATTTTATTCTTTCATTCGTTTGTATGTATGTATGTGTGTGTGTGGGCCTCCAAAAGTCCAGGGCTCATCTTTAATTACAGTCCAGCCCTGGTCTTCACCAAATCCCCCATTTAACTGAACAAGATGTATCATTAGAAAATCTTCATATCATACACTGCACGGGATGAGCTTTTTTCCTGAAGTTCTGCTTATTTGATTTATGTACCTAATCTTCTTTGCCATCTGGGTCCATGCTGACCCACCCTGGCCGCCCCAGGTCACACAGGAAGCCCAAACGAACCCAAAACCCGTGACGACAGAGCAGTATGCTGCCAGGTCACAGCCACCCAAACCCTTCCAGCCAGACTGCCCCAGGTCAAACACAGCAGCCTCACTTACTTGGTTCACTTCTGCATAGAGAGAGACAGAGAGAGAGAGAGAGAGAGAGAGAGAGGGATGAGTGAGATGCACATGGCCCAAGGAGACAGTCACTTCACGGCACCTTCATTAAAAGGCTCACCTTACTGATGGGCTGCTTTCTGTCACCTTCTGGTTCTGGAAGAATGTGGCCAACTTCTGAAGAGCTTCCAGGCTTGACGAGGGAGGAAGAGCAGGGAGAGGAGGATGCCACAGAAACAGTTTAATTTCTCAGAACAAGGCTTTTTCTCCACTCCGATGCTATTATAACAAGTTACTTTACCCACTGAAACCAATGAATGAACTGCAATTACGCTCTCATGTATTTCCACATACGGAACTGCCCACTGGCCCTGCCGCATCATGAATAGTGCCATAAATTAGTCACGGAACTTGTTGAATTTGACATGAAAGCCTGGTACCATTTTCCTTTGGGGGAGTCTTTGGTGCAGGTTAGGACAGGAAGGTGCATTAACTTACTGGGTAACGTTATTCTCCATGCTGCCATCGTGCTGGGTCTCCACGAGGCTGGAGTGCCGCTCTGTCGAGAGCAGATCATGGGCCAGATTTAATACTCAGCTGGTTTCATTTACCATTATTCAGCTCTGACCCTGAGGACCTTTTAGAAGAGCAAGTCTCTGAAATATATCTGCTTTTACAGTCCAGGGCACTACAAATGAGTCACAAAATACTGCAAGCTAAGATACTTTAGACAGAGATGACCTATTGTACAGCAAATCCAAAAAACAAAAACCATGGAGTCACTGAAAAAATGAACAAGCCATGAAGCATAACCAGAATAATTTGTTTCTCTATCGTAAATCATAGTATTTATGCTATTAATTTTACTCACTTATTTCAGGTGCTGAGAAATGTTCAGGTTCCCTGTAAAATAAGAAGGTCCACATGTAAATAACTGCCAGACGGGTTTTAAATAAATTAACATAGAAATAAATACTTTAAATATAAAGTGCCAAATACGTTCTGAAAAATGCATCATTAGGTGATTTTGCTGTTGAACATCATGGAGTACTTACACAGACCTAGATGGTACAGCTTACTACACACCTAGGCTATGTGGTGTAGACTACATAAGGCTAAAAAGTACAGTATAGTAAATACATGAACCAGAAACAAAGTTATTATCATCCAGTGTTATGTACTGTGTATAATATACTTTGACATGACTGGCAGTGCAGTAGGTTTGTTTACACCAGCGTCCCCCAAACCCGTCAGAAATGTGTCGTGCATTGATGACTTTGACGTCACTAGGCCACAGGAATTTTCCAGCTCCATTATAACCTTATGTCACCACCATCGTATATGCGGTCTGCCGTTCACCGGAACATCGTTATGTCAGGCATGACTGCATATTAGTACATTTTTATTTAGCAGATGCTTTTATCTAAAGTGACATACATTTGGGGAAGACAAATTCAGACAGTCCCTGCAGCAAACAGGAATGGAACCAGCAAGCAGGTGCACATTGTCCATTGGCAAGTTTGGAAATGTTCCCGGTGTGCTGGTCTTGTGAGTGCTGGTCTTTTTTCTACAGCCTATAACCCAGGGATGCCCAACCAGTAGGTCTATCTCGGCACAGACTGGTCAGTGGCAAATTCCTGGGCTGCTTTTCGTTGCCAGTCCCCCCCTGACCACAACCTTCTGACCTTCTGATCACAGACACGACATCATGACCTGAGATGCACACCCCCCCTTGACCCATTCCTACTCTACACAGGAAAAAATGATTAGTATATATTAATAGCATTAATAGCTTAGATATGAACAACCCCTTTAGCAGACTCACTTGGGCAGTGTGGGGGACATGGCTTCCTCATCGTCGTACGTCCATTCCTCACTGTCATCTGAAACTGAGCGAGAACCCAATCACATTTGTGTGAAGATACCCAGAATCCTCAGCACCATCTTTATGAAGCCTACTGCGGTATATTATATATAAACACTATATAAAGTATGAAATACTCACAACTGCCACCGGACAGGGGAAAGTGATTGGAGGACCTGAAAATGTGCGAATCACAGTCCTTCTGAGCAACAATGTCAAAGCTAAGACTGTCAGGGATTAAGCACCATATATACACAGAATTTCAATAAAAAAGAGCCTTCTGTCAGCTGGGGTACCTGCTGCCCACGCTGGTGGTCTCTCCGTTGACTGGTCCGCGGCCTGCAGCCTGGGCCGCCTTCTTTCCCAGCTCCATCATCTCCTGGATGTCCAGCTCGATCCCCTCCACGGAGATGTAGCCATCTGGGGGACAAAGACAACACACACGCCGCCTGTCAGTCCAGGGTGGCGGGAGCAGCCTGCGTCTAAGCTTGGGTGCGCTGAGCTGATACCTACCATACAGAAGTAGGGGCCTCCACACATACGTAAACACAGAAATGCACGCTTGTTTGTAAGTGTGCAGTGAAGTGCAAAATTGTTATAACTTCAATGAATAACAGTAAACCTTATAATAATTTTAAATGCATATAATAAATAAATAAAAAAAAAAAAACTGGCATCTTAATGCTGTTGTGGTGCGACAAACATAATCTGAGGGTTAGGACAGACATGAAAGCTAATTATTCCTAAGCATTTTAGAAGAATTCATTCTTAGGTTAACCCCCTTAGTATTAAAAAAGCTACAAAAAAGCAAAAAGCTAAATAAGAATATCTCCAGGGAGGCAGTGACGCTGGTGAAATGATGAACAAAAAGTGAAGTGCTGAAGTAAGGTTACCATCATTCACATCTGCTACCAGCTCAGCACCATCATGGCCGCCACGCTCACACTCACAGTTGTTGTCCGCGCTCCTCGCCAGCCACTTCCCCTTCGGGCAGTTGGTGGTGCGGATGATGCTGATGATGTCCCCGCTCTTCACGGCCAGGCTGTTCCTACGGCCTTTGCTGGCCACCGTCACCTTAGCCTGGTATATGACCTCCTCCTGCCCAGTAATCTGCATAAATAATAACACTGGCCAATCAGTCACCACGCAGTGCTAATGACATACTAATCGCTCTAACGGCCACGTGACAGCACAGCATTACACCTGAATGGCATGGGTCATACTAACAGCAGCGTGTCAGTATTCCAAGTATGTGAACTCCAGACCAGAATGACTGAAACACAGCTGCCTCAACTGAACTTGTTGGCAGACAGAAGCAACAGGCACAACAATTTCTTATTTCTCATCTATAAAATCAAATGTAAAATCATACTTGTACACCTCTGAAAATGAGAATACTACAACTTGAAAATCAATTAACAAGCAGTGACACTCAGCATTGTTTGATTATAAAGTTTATCTGTTCTGTCCTGAAACACACAGGACACTTTCTGTGAAGCTGGGCATCCAGATGCTGCGATGCCTGACTGATATCACCGTAAAATATACTGCATTCAGTCTATAGCCGGGGGGCCTGCTTTTCCCTGTATTTTTTCTCCCTACTTGGGGTTTTTTGGTTCATTTTTTCTCAGCTGCCATCTGTCTGTCTTTCTTTCATTCATTTCTTTCATTCATTTCATTTCCTTTTCTTGTATTACTATCCCTTAATGATGTTGTAATGTCTCATAACAAAGTACTCTGAAGCACCTTGGGGCAACTCTATTGTGAAAGGCGCTATATCAAAATAAATTAAACTGAACTGAACACGTATTTTAAAAAGCATTTAATGGGGTGTGGTGGCAAACTGCAGTGCTGTCGGGATTTCTGAGCTCAACAGCACCTCATGTGTCTGGAATGAGGAAGTATGTGGAAAAGCGTGCTGACGATGCTGTACAAACTCAGCAGAGGCTCAGAGCAGAGCTGGTGTCTCGTCATCCATGGAGAACTTCCTCCTTCCTTACCGTCTGTGCCGGGGCACAGGAAATATCACTAAGAACGTGAACTAAATGAGTGAAAAAAGGAATTTGTTATTACAAATTAAATAGAAAATTTGGTCGGGCGGAATGTAGCCAACAGGATAAACTAAAAAAAGGGAAGCAAAAAAAAACACACAACAGTAACATATTCAGAAAAACTAGCAACAAACAGAAAATGCTTCCAAAAAGCTAAAATAAATATATTAAATGACCCAGCCATTCGAAAATCTAGATCACATTCTGAATTGAACATAAAAATTTATAATGAATGACAAAGAGAAACAGAAGAGCAACCTGGCTGACACTATACAGCAGGCCTGTATGAATACCATGACGAGCCGGAAATTTCTTGAAGGTCTCTTTCATTGTTATTTTGACTGAGAGAATCACACTTGGGGACATGTGTAAGGAGCTGTCATCCAGATCATAAACATACAGGGCAACCCCCCCCCCCTCCCGCCTGCCTCCTGAAATGTCACCCTGGTGACAGACGGGTGACAGTGTCTCTCACGGTGTATGTATTACCCTTTTCCGTACTCACATCAGATATCGCCCCTTGATAGAACTAAGTAATAAAGTACAGTCTTTAATAAAATCTGATAATGTGTGCTTTATTCACATGTGTGTTGTTTGATTACAAATAAGAAACTGTGGAGCACAGAGACATATACGAACACTATGAAGGGCGCTACAAATGCAGCAAATGAAATATCCTAATATATCAGATTAATGCAGATCAGACTTAATAGTGAGCCCCCGCATAATGTAAGGTTACTCTTTTGCTGTGACCTCCATGGGTGGCAGCCCATGTTTGTGGGGGGGTTGCTGTGTGGCTTAGGCCACTGTGCCTCTGATCAGAGGGTCACAGGTTCAAATCCCAGCAGGCGACTGGCTGAGCCCATCTCCTGAATCATATGTCGCTTTGTAGAAGCACTGGTGCGGTTTAACCTTAGTGGGGCTCCCACAACATGCCCCCAACCTCTGCTTGTGGAGGAATGTATTCCTATAGCTTTTCTGCCTTTACAGCCCCCCACCACCTCACCTGGAACTTCTTCTTCAGCGTGCTCTCTTTCTTCTCCCTCTTTTTCTGCTCCTTCTTCTCCTTCTCCAAACGCTGCTTGTCTTTCTTCCTCAGCTCTTTCTCTCCCGGTCCACTGGGGTCACCTTTCTGCTCGCTCTTCTCCTGGCTGGGAGGGAAGAGTGGTGCCTTTGAGCACAGACTGACACCTCGGTTGGGATGGCGCCTCACAGTGGCCGCACAGGATAAGGGTCACTGAGGAAGCCCTGCCTCTTTCGGGTTCATTAGGAGAGACGGTGATTCTCAGCTTTAAACCCAACAGCCACTTCTCTTATATGGTTTGATAATGCAGAATCGGCACTTATCTTAATTAATGTAATTAAATTGGAAAACAGCAAAAAGAGGCAGAAATGGGCCATTTTCAATTAATGCCTCGTACATATTTTGGTTTCCTTTACTGACAAATTGGATAATTCTTTCACCATGCAGCAGAAAGTACAGAGATACCGTAACCCCCTAATTCTCACACCAATGAAAACCAAAACCGACGATTTCTTGTTATCTAACGATTCTAAAAATCCATCAGTGTTTATCATTTTTAAATCATTATTCATGGACTGAAAAAGAACTTTTGGATTAGAAGATTAGGCAGGAAACACACGATGATCCTTGTGGCAAAAGGACATACCGGGATTTTCGGAACCACGAATTCCTGGAGACATCTGGGGTCTGGACAAAAAGAAAACAGGAAAACACGAGAAAGACAGTTAAGGCCGGAAAACGCTGGAATATCAGAATGTACACATCATGAGTATGTGGTAATATGTGACAATAGCAAAACAAAGGCAAAAAGCACATTATATATTACTGTCAGGCTTCTCTCACAGTGTAACAAGTCAAACAGTTCGAAACACGATCACAGTGATCATAACAAAACAGTGATGGATGTGTTTAAAGCCATACAATGTGCTGCCATAACTGATTGTGAGTAATCAAAGACATCAACTGAAATGCAGTGTTGTAGTTACTCTTTTCCCATTTATTATTAATTGTGCAGTGTGGCACCAAACCCCATTTACCCAAAGCATTTACCATTGCCTGTGTTTCATAGGGGTCTGTAAAACAAAAACAAACAAAGGTGAAAAAACTGCGGAGGGATATACACTGTATTTAAATACACAGTTTACTTTGTTTCTGTGGCATACAAATTAAATCTTTGTCAGATAAGGATTTCAAGAAATATCTTTCATACAGGAACAGTCAGTACCTCTACCAGGATCTATACCAGAGAGTGTAGAAGATCATATTCATAATGTGTCATTTTTATCTTGAAGGCACATAGCCTTGCACTGGAGATCTACCTGCTATGACATCATAATGTAAGCAATACAGAAGCCGTCTCACTACTGCCAAAGGTTATCTTACTTTTGGGGTGTCCGTTACGTTTGCGCCCATTTAGACCCTTGCGGGTCTTCTTCTTGTCCTGAGCATCTTTGTGACTGACAGGGCTTTCATTTGGAGTCTGAACCCTACAAAGAAAAGTCATAAAAGAACTCAGTTCTGTCAGGAACCTCATAAATTTTATATTAAAATACAGATAAAATGGACATGAAAATAAAAAACATACTAATTTCAGTCAAAGTTTCATACAATCACATTACCCAGATACTGGCAAATGGTCAGCGATGGGCCCAGTCATCTCAGCAAGTGGATCATTGTGTTCCAATTCTCCATGGCCCGATTGCTCAAATTTTGGAACCTCACAGTCCGTAACTTCAGGTTCTGCGGCTTCAAACTCAGGGGCCTGAGATTCTTCAGGGTTAAACTCTGGTGTCCAATGATCTGGAAAATCTGAAGCTACCACTTCGTGGTCTGGACCTTCAATTTGCGACATCACAAAAGCTGGATCTTCAAGGACTGACTCTTCTTGTGCTGCAAATTCAAGGTCATATCATCTGAGACTACCAAATACATGCTTGAATTGCATAAGCAGTCTGCTCATAAATTCTTCAATAATATGGACCAAATATGTTCTTAGCCCTGTAAACTACTAAGGCTTTCCCATTTGTGCATTGCAAAAAATGATTCAAGAATCACATTACGCTTATACATTATTCTTGTGTTGCACATTTGGTGATTCGAGGTCCACAACTGACCTTAGTGGCTTCAGTGCGAAAGGACCCAAAGAATTTTTTTAGAAACTAACTTCAAAACCTGGCCTTCCAAAAAGTGACAGAGTGTCATTCTTGAGGTGCTGAGCAAATAAAAGGCTCAGAACTGAGACAAACATGTCAACAAACACAGGCACTTCTCCCCCGCTGATGTTATGAAAAGAATGTTCTCCTGTGTTGCACATTTCTCACCATAATTTAAAGAGCCTTTTCGTTGCCGTCGTCTTGTGGTTCTGTAACTGTGACGTTTGCATGGTTCCCCTTTGCAGTAAAGACTGAAGCTCTACCTCACAAGCCCCCTGATAGTGGCATACGTCTCACTGTACATAACCCCAGTGTTACAAATGCGATATTTCAGATACTCTCCCCTCCTTATGAATCACGCTGGGCACAAAGCAGCCTTTCAGTCTTTTGATATGTGGTCTAGCCTGGCCTTCAAATCCCAGCACACATATTTCTCACATGTTTAAATTTCACCGAGTGCTGTCTGTTTGTACCATACAATATAAATTTGTATATATATCAATGTGATGATATCATCATTCTGCCTTGAAAAAAGGGTAAAATAAATCAACGTGACCTTAATTCCAAATTCTAGCCTTGGGTTAGGATCAGCCAATCCATTCTTTTTCTTCAAATAGAAATTATTTGTATTTATGGTTACACTTTAATAAACACACAAAAAAACATACTTTGAGATGAACCGTTAATCTCAGCAGCTGGAGGAGAATCAGAGCAGGTTTGGGTGCAGCTTTCCACCAGTGGGTCCTGATAGTCTATGGGGGGCAGAACCAGCAGATTGCTATCCACCTCCTCTTGGGGTATGCTGGCAAAAGGCTGAGCTGGGGAGATCTTCATCTTAGCTTTCTCCAGAGCTCTCAGAACACGCTTGTCACAAGGTAGGGTCTTGCATAAAACAGGGTCAAGTTCAGCCTTCGGTTTTGTGGATTCAGCTGCAGCAGGGTGATCCTTTTTGGGAAAGCAGGTCCCCTGGCTTTCACCCAGCTTCTGGGCTTCTGTGAAGGCTTTTTTGGGTGTCTGGGTCTCTGTGAAGGCTTTGGCGGGTGTCGGGGTCTCTGTGAAGGCTTTGGCGGGTGTCGGGGTCTCTGTGAAGACTTTGGCGGGTGTCGGGGTCTCTGTGAAGGCTTTGGCGGGTGTCGTGGCTCGTGGCTCTGCAGTCCCGCAGGCTGCACTGGTGGAGCCTTTACTGGTTTGGGGGGATTCCTTGTCAGGATTTAAGGTTGGTGTTGAGCTGACGGCTGGATTTTCCCATTTAGGCGGAGGACTTTTGGCAGGAGTGAGCAGTGCCGGGCCTGAGCTGGCTTTACCTTCTTTAGCAGACACGAGAGGCATCTTTTTATCATTATGGGCCGGCTTCACCATGCAGACCTCATCCTTCTGGTTCAGATCCTGGACCTCTGCACTGAACATGGGCTTTTTATCATCCTCTTTGCCTTTGGGGGATGTGGGGGATGTGGGGGACATGGGCTGACATTCTGGCCGCTTCTTGCTTAACCCCTTATTGTCATCTTTGAAGACCACTCTTGGTATGACTGGCATCTTGTTCTCCATGGCTAAATTGATGGAGGTCAGAATGGAGGAGCGGCCCCCGGGAGGGGGAATCTGACTCGGTTTCTCTGGAAGAGCAGGTTTGCTTGTTATCTGTTTCACAGCTGCCTCTTCCTGAAACTTGGCCCGCAGGGACTTAAAGTCAGTGGCGTCCTGGCTTGGACCCTAAGTGAAGAAAAATATATATAATGTGAGAAATGTTCATATCTGGGGAAAAAAAAAACCTGATGCAACCAAGAGTAAAACCAACAAATGACACACAAAAGCAAAATATCATTGGCAAATGTGGCTGAAAGTTTTTTGTCAAAACCTGTAATATGTATCGTAAGCTTTTATTGAATTAATAGAAAAATACCGCGTCTGCGAATTCACTCAGAACACTACGGCCAACCTAGGCAGTGTGTCTGAAAGTGTGTGATATATCTTTGTGTTTGATTCATTTGTTAGAGACATTAGATAGATAGATAGATAGATAGATAGATAGATAGATAGATAGAGCGTAAATCAGGGAAAACAAAGGTCTTGCATCAAAATGTATATAATTGCATACATAATATTGACATATGCTTATGTATAGTAATGACATTGGCAACACGCTTACGGAAAGCTCAGCATAAACGCACCAAGGAAGATTGTAAAGAAAACTTTTAAACTATGTATAAAACACATACATAAGAATAAACGTAAAAAGAATAAAATAAGAATAAAAGTACCACCATGTGCACATTAATTTGGCTGAAATTTAACTTTAAATATCTCGCAGGAGAATGGTGATGTCCAGTGGAATGTTAAATCTAGGCAATGCTAACTTCATAGCGTAACGCTTAGAAACTGTCAATTACACGTTATTTTCGTATCAAGACAAACTTTATTCTCTTACCTGCTCCATGGTCAATCTCGTGTAAAAGTCCCTGCAAAAACTGGATGGCGAATATCCTTTGTCTATTTATTTCTAGGAAACCTTCATAGTATGTACAGTATATGATTTTTCCCTATATTAATTCACGATACAAGACGCCGGTGCAGTTCCAGCATCAGCTTATTTTACTGCGGCATTTGTGAGACCGCCCCCGGCTTCTCTGAACTGCCAGACCTGCTTCTGGGTTGCAAATAAACCAGAGGACGGAAGATTCACGCAGAAATGATTCAGTCTGTCAGGCTCGTTTGACTTGTCCTTCCTCGGCGGCGCGCAGCGCGCTCTGCCTCTCCAGGAATGCCGCAGATCAGGTGCATCAGTGCTCCGTATTACTCCATACGAGGGTTCGCTACATGACTTCATGATCCGCATTAATGTCCATGTCTACTGTTTTAAAAAACGTCTATTTTTTTTTACTAATATGCCGTATGGGAGAAGTACCCTAACCCCTAACAACCCCCCTCCACCCTCCGGTAATGATGCCTTGTTGTGGACTTGTAAAGTTACCAACGATAGATTACATGTGAACAAAGTGCAGTTTGATGTTAAAAATCTGTAAACTGTGATCGGTATAGTTAAGGTCTGCCTTATCATGCTGTACGAAAGCACTTTAAGTTTCAGGGCAGTGTGAGCTGACAAATCAGATTAAATGTTTTTGAAATGCATTTCCTCATGCCATGTGCCTTCTTATCAGTACCTATAATCCAAAATCTACCTGAATATGATCATTTATACAATCACAACTGCCGTAACTATGGTATGTTTGACCATCCCTCATGATACTTGAGGAGGGTTCTGATTTTCAGTGGACCGCCGTGTTATACCCACGTCAATGTCGTTCTTCAAGTCTCTAGAGAGTAGAGCATCTCCTTAATGTAGCAGCAGATTATGCATGGAATGAGAGTGAAAGGCATCCTGCTCATATTAGAAAATTCCTAACTAAAATGACTGGATTAGTTGACAATTAGCATTAAAAGGGTTCAATTAACAGATAAACAGTGTTAAAGTGAAGTCTAAGACCCAGTTTAAAAGAAGCATGGCTAAACAAAGAGATAGATAGATAGATAGATAGATAGATAGATAGATAGATAGATAGATAGATAAATAAATAGATAGATAGATAGATAGATAGATAAATAGATAGATAGACAGACAGACACCCAATTAATCAGAAGAATTTCCTATTTAATCCACACCCACAGCTGACACAGATATTTAAGTAAGCATACAGTCATTATCAGCAGAAAGGGTGGTTCTTGCAGAGGACAAGTTAATGACTTTCCTCTTGGCACCATGTCATCTTTCCAATAAGTCAGTCTGCCACTTTTCTGCCCTGCTAGAGTTAAACACAAGTGAAGTGATTGTAACACACAAATCATCTGGGATCAAGTTCAGATGTGAAGTGGTTGGCCACACAAATTGACAGAAATCCCCAACATCAATAACCAACCTCCAAATCCAGCAATGTTCCAACACTGCTGGACTTCCAACAGAAAAGTAGAGCTTTTGAACTGCCAACTTTATATTAATACCCTTGCTTTCATAAAGAGATGTTAGACCAGCAGATACTTTTGGCCATATTGGATGGATGGATGGATGATAGATAGATAGATGAACAGAACAGTAAATGACACCCATATACAGACTTCTTGGTTAATCTGCTCATGGAGTCTTAATAAAACAGACACTATATTATTGGTCAAACTGGTCAGGTTGGATTTCTTGCCCAAAAGGGTAGATGCTTGTCATTCCACAGAGTCCTTTGCAGTGCTGACAGTCGGAGCCGGCTACAGTCCAGGTAGGCAAGGTTACTGAGCTCTAGTGGTATCTCGATTTAAATAGCTAGAACAGGTTCCGGTAGCCTTTGTTTGAATGCTGTGACTAGAAGATGCGTGAATGAGGAACTAACCTGGATTTGCTCCAAAAAGATAGACACATGTGGAAAGGTTATGTTGCCTCATTTAAAAACACAAGTGACGCAGTGTAAATGAAACTTCCTGTGAGCCTCCCACGCTTTTGCTCAATTAAAAGCTAACTCTGGAGCAGGACTCTGGAGAATGTGAAGATGAAACTTGGAGGATGAGCTGTCACATAGGTAGCAAACCACAGGAGAGCCTGAAGCAATAAAGAATGCAAAGCAATGCCGTGGCAGGACATGCACTGATCCCAGGTCAGTGAGTAGGATTTCAAAAGGAAACTCTGGAGTAGTCTTACACTAAATCAGAGTATTATGGGTTTGTTAAATAACTGATACTCACTGCATGTGCATACCACAATGACTATTATTCTTATTTATCTCTGACAGGGAGAATAGGGACTAGCTAGACACCAAAGAGTGGGACCATTGGTGGGTTGTTGTCCTCTAGGAGAATCACAATGCTCGGCAGCAGGGCATTATTATGTATAGTATGGTTATTCGATCTGGGGTATGATAGAAGAGGGTGTCATTCATTTTCAGAAACCGAAACCAAACTAGTGCTTGTAGGACTATGGCCCAAAACCTCATCCTCTCAGAACTTTCTGTACTAACCTACTCAACCCACCAATCAGGTCAGGTACGAAGCACCATGCTGTATGTGGGGGGGGGGGGGGGTAACCCACAGTTTGTGGTTGATAATATGAAGCTTCCCCTTGCTGATCACAGCAGAGCCGAGAAAAGGAAATCATTATTCCTACCAAGAGGAAACAAATGCCAGCATTTTGTTTTTCTGTAACAATTGAACCACACCTTATGAATGATATGGATCTACCCCATGACATCCTGACAATGCCTAACGCTTCTTTTAATAAAGTCAAAAATTTTCAGCAAGTTTGTTGTGTACAGCTGTAAGCATCTCGCTGTGGCACTCAAAGATGATAATTTATCCATCCTGTTACGGCCGCACCTTTCTTCAGCCCCATCTGTTCTTGCAGTGAAGGGCAGTGGGACGGGTGCTTCATTATTCTCATCATCTGCACCTGAGGAGTGGCTAGCTAATGAAAGGGGGCACCGTGGCTGCCTCCTTTGGCTCGCATTTTGTAACTCAGCGCAGGAAGGAACTGCTTGCCTGTTAATTGGATTTTCCTTCTAATGTGTTCCGCTAGTTGAAATTATGTCAGTCCATCACAGGAAGTATAGGGCATAAGGCTGGGTACACCCTGGGCGGGATGTCAGTCCGTCACAGGAAGTATAGGGCATAAGGCTGGGTACACCCTGGGTGGGATGTCAGTCTGTCACAGGAAGTATAGGGTATAAGGCTGGGTACACCCTGGGCAGGATGTCAGTCCGTCACAGGGTACATGCGCTAATCTGGCAACTTAGATATTCCACTTAGCCAAGCTGCATTTCTTTGGATTGTAGGAGGGAGCCCTCGTATCCAACGGAAACCCACCTGACACAGGGGGGGGATCTCCTCATGTAGATGGGAGGTAGAATCCAACTCCTCCGGAGGTGTGGAGGTGTGAGGAGACGCAGAGTGACCCTCCTCAAGCAAAAGAACAAGTCCAAAAGCAAGCAGCACATCCACTTACAATGTTCATGTTTCTGTTTTTTTCTTTTATCATCAAATTTAGTTTCTTGTGCTACTTTATTTTAATGACCACAGAAATGCTATGGAAATGAAGAGGGAAAAAAAACCCACTTAATTATTTTGAGCCAAACACTAAACATTAATTGGCCTCAAAGAAACATTTTATGCCGAGACACAAAAAATATATTTTTTTTTCTAGGCAAAAACTGATTTGGTGAATATGTGTATGTGGGAAGTGTTACTACAAAACACACCAAAGACAAGTCAGGTACATTTGTATGGGTGCCTGTTACAGTGTCTTGCTCAATGCTGTGCATCAGCGCGCAGAGATACTCTGCCCCGGTGTCAGTGTACGCAGGACCCGATCCTGCTCAAGGAGAAGTGTCACCTGCCAGCCATTCACGCTCTTATGCAATGAGATTCCACTCATAGCACAGCATGCAACCTCAATCTCCACAAAGGCCCCTATTATTAAGCAGAGCTTTCATTTTTTTTCAAGGTGCTACAGGATTCAATACTAAGCTATTACTGTAAAAAAAGAGACCTTTATTTGTCTGAACAAGAAATGAGTAAAATATCTAGCATGTTTAGTTCAGTTAACTAAAACGCTATGCAGCATTTTAATGCAGTATAAGACTATTTTTTTCAATCAGTCGCATACAGAAGAAGCAGACCGTGCGTTTTGCGTGTGTTTATTGGTAACAGTATTACATAGTGGCATCCATAAACCAAGAGAGCGTGATGAGATTCTAAAAAACCCACGGGCGCATGTTTACAGAAAGATAAAAATAATGTCGATTTACATTAACAAATCGTTAGCTGAGGTAAAGTTAAAATAAGTCTACAAACATACTCAAACAGTAATGCTTCCCTTTTTCTTACCTTTTTAAATTCAGTTAAGAGCTAAGAGTTGAAAAAATTACTCAAATCAGAACAGGCCTCTGGCTATGAAATAGGAAGTGGGTAACAGCACAGTCGTTTACAGAGAGACCGTCACACTCAGTTCCACGTCCCTAGTGCTTGGCAAGCCCACAGAACGAGCGCGTGGCACGTCTTCCCGTCGGGTGGCCGTGGGGCTGAGTACGAGGCTCTGTCACATCATGCGGGACACGGAGCGAGTCGTGACAGCTTGGTGGCCTTTTGCGTTTCTGGACGGAGCGTTACACACACCGTTCTCGCTCTGGTGATGCAGCTTACTCAAAGGATAGTTTACGCAGAGATGTACGAACGTGGAAGTGTGGCGGAGGCGGGGCAAGTGCATTTTGTGTCTTGGGCGATGGTTCGATATCAAAAGGAGCCGTCAAAAACACAACAGTGTGGTGTCCAAGGGCAACTGTCTGCTGGTTAAAGTTCAAGCTACAGGTGACACACTGCAAGAGCTCTGGGTTAATGTGGCAGACGAAAAGTCACTGGTCCTGTAAACAGACCATGGAAACATGATTTAAAAATGTAAAACTCACATTAATTAGTGCCCCAATACTGGAGCGAGCACTGTAGGGAAAGACAGCTCAAATGAGCATGTTTTTGCGGAGCTGATTCTGACAACAGCCATTAAAGGGAGTGTAAACGCCAACAACCCTCTGCGAGGTGTGGAACCCTTAAAAACACACACTTCAGGCTTTTGAAAGCTCTCCTGTCGTCCTTGAGATTTCTCTCAAGATCACAGTAAAAATTATGGGATGTCTAAAATGCAGGACAAAGGAGAGCTTAAAATCACGCAGAAAGTCTGTCGTCAAGCCAAGGTGTAAAAGTAATCGGGTGTTAAGGGAGGCAGGCTCATGAACTTGAATCGCTCCCTTAAATTCGCAACGACATAAGAAATCAAAGTTATGAATGATTTCAGGATACACAAGCAGCGTAAACCATCGATAGACTCACTGTATTGCTTGGGTACAACTACAACTGAGGCCTGTCTATTTTATGGCACAGAGGTCCCGGTGAAAAATGAACACTATTATTTACAAAATTAATTTGGCAAACTTTAGTTCAGATGCCTTAAAGCCATTTTTAACCTAAAATACATATAGAGACGACCCCAACGGCTCCCGTGACTTATAAAATAAAAACTCATTTTGTTTTGTGTTTTAATTAGTATTGTACAAAAGTTATAGGTAAGGAACAGTTCCATCACAGAATCAGAGTTGCCATGTCTGTGCCCAGCGACGCCCGTGTTGCCTGAAGCCCCGCCCACTCACGTCTCACGCAAAAGGAAATTCGGCCACGCCCTTCTCCAAATGGGGATCCACAGCTGGTCTTTTCTGCATAGCAGTCTAGCAGCAGATGGAATCGTGGGAAGAGCGAAGCGTCTGCTAACCGCCTCCGCTGCACCGAACGGCAAAACTGCGAAGGCTGTGGCGGCCATCTTGCGGACTTCCAAAGGGCACACTCCGTGCGAGGGAGTCCGGGGGCTGGGGGGGGGGATCACACATGGCCATGGACCAGCATCTCCTGTCCCTCAGCAGATCCGTGAAGAAAGCACAGTAGAAAATAGGGTCATGAAGAAAGAGTAACAGAGTCATTTCTCCTCTTGTTTTTTTTTTGGGTGGGGGTGGGGAGAGCAGCCTGGCTCTGTGGCCACCCGGACCCCTGCTGTGTCAGTCCCGAGTCCCCCTGTCATCCCCCTGCACACAGCCAGGGGCCAATAAAGTTCCTCAGCATTCCTGCTTCTTTCCTTTGCTTATCTGGGCATAAAGGGGATCCTTTCCCTGCAGATATGGGAGACAGGAGGTTAGTGTGTTGGGATTAGGGCAGGCCCCACCCTGGGCCAAAAATCTCTGAACATCCAGGGGAGAAAGGAGCAAAGAGAGAGAGAGAGAGTGAGTGTGAGACAGAGAGAAAGAGAGAGAGGGAGGAACTGGCAAATCTTTGAGAAGAGGAAAGCATGAAGTGCTCATTTTGTAAAAGATAATAGAATGATCATTCTTTCCTCGTTTCACACAAAGGAAAACCACACAGGGATGAAAAAAAATATTAAACGTTAATGTCCTCCTGAATACACCAAGCGCAATATGAGTAATTCCACTAAGGACAATTAGCAGTTAAAAACGGAAGGAGACTTTTTGCCAAAGTGATCCAGGTTTGCTTTGACTGCAGTGGCCATCCAAGCCAAGGTGACGCAGTCCGTACGTATGAACAGCAGGTGGCAGTAGTGCCCTTAGCACTAACACTGTAACAGCAGATCCTGAGTCACTTGTAATGATGCATTTGCTCACTGGTGCTGAACACTCAATACAAACACATAAATGTAAACCACAGACGAATCAACCAATCCGAATGAGGGGAGTGACGGTGTATTTAACTCTGCCTCACGTGTGTGTGTGCGTGTGTGTGTGTGCGTGTGCTTTTAAAGCTACGGCAAGCACATGGAAAAGAGGGAAATGCAATCTCAGTAAATATGGGAGATACAGCCAAGCTAATGCCGGCTTGGTCTTTTGTCTATTATCACTATAAACAACAATTACAGTTTTTTATAGTTCATAAGTATGTGGCTCTAAATGGTCATTAAAAAAACCCTGGAGTAAAAATTTAAACGTTTAAGAGCCTTAAATTGAGCTCTAAATCGAGCAATAATCATAAAATTGGTACCAAAATCCTGATGCCACATAAACATCTGCTGCTGTTTGCTGTCACACCGAGTCCCGGCATTTGGCGGGGGGTGGGGCAAAGTGACAGGGTGACCTCACCAAAGGGGGGGCTCGTCTCTGAGGGATGTGGCCGGGGAGCTGTCGGAGCTGAGGTGCGGCTGAGGTGCCCTGGTTATTCCCTCCCACCCCCCCCCCCCCCCGCCCCTCGCCCCAGACCGAGGTTTTCCACAGCGGCGGGCGATGGGCTAATGGCCCGTAAAGACACGCTATCCAGACGACCGCAGGGAAACGGCAGCGACGAGGTGGACAGACAAATGTCACCACTGACCGGGACATAGAGGGCCCCGAGAGCGTGGTGCGAGGCTCGCAGTGAGGTCATCGGACACGGGTGACTCTCACTGAGACCGGGGGGG